GGCCCCGCCACAGCCCTGCGCGAGGCTGGTTCTCGGCCGGAAACGGCCCCGGCCACGTTTTCTGCCCTGAAAACTCTGCAGGAGCACTCTCCCCACTCCCTGCTCCTCCTGTTCGCGGCCCGCCGTGTCCCAGCCTCGCTCGGCATGGGCAATAAGCGCTTTCTTAACAAAATCCCCGTCCTGCCCTTAATGGTTTCGCGTGTTCTGTGCAAGGGAGGACAAATGGAGGCTGCAGCCTCCCTTACTGACGAGGGACGCGCAAATGGCTTTGTCATGCAAATGTGGCTCTAAGCCACTTTCATATAAAGCCACTTAATGCCGAGCAGCCAGTGATCCTCGCCCGCCCGTCAGGCAGTGCCTGCCCTGTCCTTGAAGGAGCGGAAATGGAGGCACTGGCACAGATGCGTGCTCCCTGCCTCCATGCTGAAACGGGATGACCTCAGCACGCGGAGAAACCTTCCTTCCCTCCCCCCCATACAACGTTCCCGTCCCCCTCCACCAAAAAAAAAAAGAAAAGAAAAAAGAAAAGCTCGCTCTCTTCCGTGAAACTAAACTAGTTTCCTGCCAACCCTCCCTTGCTGCTCCCAGAGTACGTCCCTTGTGCCTCTCCGTTCAAATGCCCGCGGTAATTACCTGCATGGATTGTGTTTCTCCTGTGTCCTAAAACATTTTATTTCTTTTTAGCTTGTCGTCCTCGCTTGGCATTAACTTTCGACAACAGCCAGCAGAGTGTGCTATGAACGCTGAGAAAAGAACATCCTGCTTCTGGGAAATTTATATATATATCTCCATATATATATATACACACATATATATACATACGTACAGAAATGCAGATGAAGACATTTTAAGTGGTTCTAATACTTGCATGAGTGGTAGGTAGCTCCTCCCGTCAATTAAAATACTTCTCTTGTCGCAGATCACAGAACCTCTTCCTTAAAAATTAATAACCAAGTCATACTAAACCGTCTGCTTTCAGCGAGATTGCTTTCCAGTGTTTGTATAAAGTTGGAAAAGTGCCACAGTGGAGATGTCCAAATACGTTTCACAGTCAGAGAGAAGGATCTAGAACACAAGGTATTTAATAGATGAAAATGCAAATCGTAACCCCAGCGTACAGGAAGCAGCTTATGCAATTATACAGTATGAGCATTCGTTTCTCCAACCTCATTACTCCCTTTTTTGGACTGACTTACTGACAGTGGAGTTCCAAAGAGAGCAATAAACACAGTAGAAACAAGTGAAATAAAAAAAAGATAGAAGAAAAGTGTTTACTAGATGCCTTGGAAATGGAAATGTTTGCTTGAAAAGCAAACACACGTATGTTTGGATTCCTTATGCTATTCTGGTGTCTCTTCTTCCTTGTTTTGTAGGAGCAGACATTTAGGGAGGAGTGAACTGAGTTGTACTTGTGGGGTAGCAAATAGTTCCGTATCATTCATAAACCAAAACTGCCTCAAACCAAAGCCAAGTTTGAGACCCTGTGTAAGGGTTTTAAGGGCAAAAGGACATTATTGTTATGCAACCAAACTGGAATTAGGATTAAAAGGAAATCAGAATACATAAACAAAAGCAAATTCAGAATCAAGGCGTTCAAATAAAATTGGCTGTGGGCCGCAACTATCTATGCAAGTGTTAATTATTGAGTAAAACTGTTTTAGAAATATATACTAGAGATGTTTGGCTTTTTCTTCTTCTCAGGGGCAGTCTGACAGCGCAATCAAAGCA